TGACACGGCAGCGCCAGTATCAACAGTCATCGTGAGTTGCACGGATTGGCCAAGGAGTACGGAGCATTTGACACTATCAGCATGTGCAATGTGCTGAATGGTCAAGACATTGGAGTCTTGATAGTCTGGATGAGGTGCAACGGGATTATCACTGGTGAACACTCCCTGAACCTGATTGCGTGTAGATTGAAATCTCTGTCCAGACCGGCAAACACGTGCGTAATGCCCTATTTTTCCACATTTAGAGCATGTAGCGTACTTGGCTTTGCAGTTTGGATCATTTGCTTTGTGCGATTGTTCACCACAGCGGTAGCAAATCTGTGACTGCAGCGGTGCTGGTCTCGATTGTTGCGGAGGGTGCTCTGTAGTGTTGCGATGCTTGCGTGGTTTGCGATTTTGCTGTCGGGGTTTTCGGTGTGTAACCGCATGTACATCTGCCTCTGGAGTATGGCTAGAATTCTCCCCGATGATCTTGGATTCACGCAATGCCGACTCGACTTGACGCGAAATTGTAATTGCATCAGTAAGTGTCAAATCTGGTTCAAGCAGTAGGCGCTCTCGAATCTGAGTAGAGTATGTGCGCTCAATAAATTGATCCCTGATCAGCTCATCTGTCATGTTACCAAAGTTACACGATGATGCTAAGGCACGTAGCTCTCGGATGTAATCATCAACGGATTCCCCTGGCAACTGTGAACGTCTGCGAAATCTGTATCTTTCAGCAACCACGTTCAGTTTGGGTTTGAAATGTCTGTCAAGCACCCGGAGAGCAGAATCAAATTCATCTTCATTTTCCCCTGCATTCTCTTGTGGAAGCGTATGGAAAACACGCTGACCTTCAGTGCCAAGGCAGTGCAGTAACAACGCACGTTTACGTACGGCAGGATACGTATTTGCAGCTGATGCAACAGTGTAAGTTTCAAACATACCTCGCCACTGAGTCCACGGAACGGGCGGAGTTCCCGGAGTTACGAGGAAGAATGGAGGCGGTGGAATCGATGCCATGGCTTGTAAGAACTCTCAGTATGATCTATCCTCCCTCGTCGCCAAATAATGTTATATCCAAGGTGTGTAAATGGGTTATAAATCCAGTACTGAGAGAGAGCAATTCAGATTCGAGGTAACACTTTATTCGTACAATTCCAACATGGCGCAGCCCACACATTTCTACTCCAGAGGGCGCTATGCAAATAGACTGTGAACACAACACCGTTCTATACAGGACTTAAGTAACAGCGAACAGAGGCATTGGTGTTGGCATGAGGGATTTGCTAGTTAGCGAAAATATCACAGTGATTGGACGGTAACTTGTAACCTCATGCGACACTCGCCCCGTATAAAGTCTAACTCGTTCGGTACAGCAAAACAGCTGTGAGACAACGAAACTGCCGGTTAAATAACACGGTATCGCCGGGTAAATAACCACAGTCGTTTTGAAGACGAAGACTCCAAATACATGTACATGTAGTCGGTACAGCATGAGGGATTGGCTAATAGTTGAATTAAACTATGAACTTGGCTGAAGAAAGACTGAGAAAATTTGCAAAGCAAGAGCTCTGTAAACATACGTCTTTCACGAAATGCCGCTAAGACAAAAGAGGAAGTATGGCGGGTGGGCCCCAAGGTACTGTGGGTAATAAATTTTAACGTATGGCTGGCACCCTCTAGAGAATAATGCATATGTACCGTGTAGTAATACTCTACAGGTAAGTAGAGCGCAGTAGAATGATAATTTTAACATTAGTTATGAGCTTTCCAATGAATCATTGCACAAAAAAAGAATCAGCCCATGACAAGTAATCAATTAATTAATTTCATCTTTAGCAGGATGCTCCTAAATTCGTTCTGAATATAGTGCGCACAATACATGAACTGGAGCTCGCCACTTAAAACCACTTGTTAAACAGCAGAAAGGCCTGCAAAAATGAATAGGCAAATTTATTTCTTACTGAACATTATAATCCTTTGAATTTCGTTTGGAAAAGAAAATTGATATTGTAAAAATGCACGCGTATATCAATGTGTACGAAATGATACACAATAGGCCTATTCTCTCTTGGTTTAGCTTCATATTCAGATATTCCCACCATGATTAAGTCATGGTTTTGAAAAGATAAGCACATGTTAATAGTTTTATGACGTTCAAAGCGATTAGCATAGCAACACCCCCCATAGGCATCATAAAATACCGTTCAACATAGCGGCAATAAACGAAAACAATAAAAGCCCAATATATTACAGAAATTAAGATGACCTATAAATATAACATTTAAGATGACCTATAAAATATAAACCTTGAAACTAATGACCGAGTCACTGTTGGGTCCGAGTTGGTCGTGCTTGGGTCCGAGTTGGTCGTGCTTGGGTCAGAGTTGGTCGTGCTTGGTAGTGGGTCCAAGTTGGTAGTGGGTCCAAGTTGGTAGTGGGCCCGAGTTGGTAGTGGGTCCGAGTTGGTAGTGGGTCCGAGTTGGTAGTGGGTCCAAGTTGGTACCGGTAGTGGGTCCGAGTTGTCATGGGTCCGAGTTGGTTTGGGTCCAGGTTGATCTGATACCTTTTGTTTGGCACCTGGGACCGAGTTGACTTGAGACCTAGTTGACTCGGACCAAAATGGTTTGAGTCATCTCGGTCCAAAGGCAAGTCGGTTCAAGTCAACTCGGTCCAAGGTTAACTCGGTCCCTGGTCAACTCGGTCTAAGGTCAACTCGGTCCAAGGTCAACTCGGTTCAATGTCAACTCGGTTAAGGTCAACTCGGTCCCAGGTCAACTTGGTCCCAAGTAAACTTGGTCCCAAGTAAACTTGGTCCCAGATCAACTTGATTGGGAAAAAATGCTCATGTTAGGGTACGGTACATCAACAATACACCGATAAAGAAGTTATGTCATACACCGCTGAGGTAATGCCTTGTGGAGATCATGCATTCCACAAAAACATGGCCTTACATAGCGACAGCCCGGTAAAAAATAAAAGGGTGTGGCGTCCGAGTTCGAGTCCAAGTCAGACTCTGAGTCCGAATCTGGAGTCCATGTCTGGAATGGGCAGAGTCTGAAACTGAGTTTGGAGTCGGATTCCGAGTCCGCGTCCGGGACCGAGTTGACTTGGAACCGAGTTGACTTGGGACCGAGTTGACTTGAGACCGAGTTGACTTGGGACCGAGTTGACCTGGGACCGAGTTGACCTGGGACCGAGTTGACTCGAACCGACTTGATTTGAGACCAATTTAACTCGAAACCAACTCGGTGCGAGTCAACTCGGTCCAAGGTGCCAAACAAAAATAGATGGAGAAAAACAATTCTGCAATTTGATTCACAGAACGTGAATGATCTGTCTTTTTGTGTTTGTATTTTCCGTTGTCAACTTTTCCATTTTGATGTATATATTTGGTTTAACTATTTATGTTCTTCAAGCAATGTGTTTCCCCGAAACTTCCTGCCGCAGCAAGTGCATGGGTTGCCCGCTGTTCACAGTGCCTACAGTCACGCGCAATACATGGCCACTGCGCGATACATGGCCATCGTGATACATGGCCATCGTGACTAGCGTTGTGCATACCTTAATTCTCCGTTATTTTTAAGAATCATCCACCTAAAATACAGTTTACATTAATTGAGAAAATGTCTTATCACTTTTGAGGGTCATTTTCGATAGCTTTCGTGGTGCAAATTAAAATAATCCAGACCCAAAATACACAATACTACATTTTTTTTTAGCAAGCGCGGTGCGGCAACCCCTCTCAATCCCGCAATGCACTGGGGTAAACATTGTGTGACATCATTTATAGGGTTATTGAAAATAAGATCCTGCAATGTTGTTTTCTTGGAATATACAGGGTGAGTAAAAAAAAAAAGGAAACCCAAATGGCAGGACCATATTTAAAAGAAGTTCTGCATGTAGCACTTTCAAAATCTAGAATATGACAGCCTACTTATTTGCTTTTTTTTAGTACAAGAATCATGCAAGTCACTCATGTACTGTTCACGTTTTAAACACAACCCCCGTTTTAAAGGTCTGTCTGATAACAAAAAAAGTACATGTAGAAAGTGTTCTTTCAGCAAAACGAATACAATTCACATAGAGATGCACTCAATATGTTCTCGTGTTGATGAAAAAACACTTACTTTTTTTGTGATCCGTGGACAGACCTTTGAGTGTTGTGTTTAAAATTCTGCAACTTGAAAAGTACATGAGTGATTTGAATAATTCTTGAAATAAAACAAAACATTATTTGGGCTTTCATATCCTAGATTTTGAAAGTGCTACATGCAGAACATCATTACAAAAATGGTCATGCTATTTGGGTTCCATTTTTCTCACTCACCCTGCACAGCATTCACAGGGCTAAAACATCATCAGGTTAGTAAGATCACTAGCAATGGTCTGATAGCTCCACCCAGTCAATCAAAAATCGATTTAATTGTGACTTGTTGCTCTATAGTCAGTTCTGTGGACCTTGCCATGTTAAGTTTTGCCAGCTTTACATACCAATGTGTTACAATTCTTGGTCAGTCAGAATGTGTGAATTGAAAAACATTATTAGGCCATTACGATAGCTAAATCTCAATAAGAAGCTGTAAGACTAGTCAAAGTAGTGAAAATGTCATGTTAACAGTTCTAAACCAATCAAATTTCATATACATGTAACACCATGGTATGGCAACCTAAGGTGTTTCCACCACAACATCGCATGAAATTAATATTATTATAAAATCAACAGCAGGTTTTAGATCAACTGAATTCTTTACAGTGACGCCAGTACCTAAACAATGCAGTTTTCCATAAGAAAAGACTCAAGTAGTAATCTTGGTGTTTTGCAATTGAAAAGTATGTGTACATGTATATACCTGTAGCATCATTTCAAAATGTTACATGACTCATTCAGGTCAAGTTTTTTCTTTCTGTTTCCAGTAAACAAAGTGACAGCTTCAATCAGTTTATTACCAATGTTTAATATTAAGTAAATTCGTACAACAAAAACAAAATATAAAATGTACACATTTTGGTACCTTCAATATCTTGATTGATGGAGAGTACTGCCCATTTCCTCTGGAATAAAAACAGACAATCGTAAAATGTCATTTTTTTTTCCTTTTTACAGTTTTACACAGTGTCTAGGATCAAATTTCCCAAAATCCATAGGGATTTTCCATTCTAGTAAGAAAACACTCACCTCTGTTTACCTACATTGTACATTGGCATATCAGCGCGCATGTGCACAAACCTCGCTGAAAAGAATAGCGCACCCTCCGATCCCACTGCATGCCCACAAAGGACCCAGTAACATTATAGCTCAACCTAGTTTTGTTTCAGCAACGCGTAGCATCAACACATACAATATAACCGTACTCGCTGTGCTTGTAAGAATGGTGGACTCGGCCAAGAGTAGAAAAGAAAACGGTTAGCTCAAGCCGTTCTACTGGAGAATCAACCTCCAGTCAACAATCCAAGCGTGATACTTCAACCGCTACAATTAAGTCTAATCCTCCAGGTTCGGCGGTAGGAAATTCTCCGGGGTCGTCCTATTTTTTTTTTTTTTAGTTCCCTAAAAAGGAGGGATGGTAAACAGAGGTGAGTGTTTTCTTACTAGAATGGAAAATCACTATGGATTTTAGGGAATTCCATTACAGAAAACACCTCACCTCTGTTTACCTACATTTGCAGAGTAGCACCGAAAGTCTCAAGGGAGGGAAGGGTCATGTACAGGCCCATCGCCAAGGGATTACCCACGTAACATTTTGACGGACACAGTTACGTGGATAATGGCTCACCTGAGAGTCGGCGTGTATTTACAAGTGAGCTCGCAGCGGTTGCATCTTATATTATTTATGTGAGGGGGGAACTCCAACTCTTCGTACACTGTCAATTTAGTTTAATACTGAGACTGAAACAGGGAGAAAAAGCAATAGTTTCCTGCCTTTCAGGAAATGTCACAATATTTAGCACCATTTTAGGGACACATTCTTCAGAGTTAAGTGAATAATAAACAACCAATGGTTTTTGTTTTATTTCTGATATATCTTTAATACATACTTAACAATATCACACATAACTTGTAACTCTGCAAAGGATGGTTCTTAATAAAACATTTGTGTAATCTTTGTCCGTCAAAATTACCCAATACTGTAGAAACACCCATATACTCACTTTGATGCCTCATAAGATTCTAAGATTTCTGAAGTTATTAAGGGAATTGTCAAACTGTCTTTTTAGAGTATGGGTGTACTTTCTGTGCCTTTTCTGCTGTGACACCTGTCCTGAACATTCTTTTTTAAGAGTGTGTGGTGAACTTTTGGTGTGCTTGGTGAGAGAAGAAGTTTATGTGGTGCAGATTTGGTGTAGTGCTTTGGGGGCTAAGTGGCATTGATGTACTTCTGGTGCACTCATTTATAAATGAACTTTTTCTGGTGCCATTCTGGTGTATGGTCAATGTGTCTGAGTGTGTGTGGTGTACTTCTGGTGTATGGTCAATGTGTCTGAGTGTTCCTGCATGGCATTACGCCTGAGGACAGACAACAAAAGGAGCACAAAGGGGCCATTGATCCTCGAAGGAAGGTGCCTATTGTCCTCGAACGCAGGTTTGTGTGCTTAGTCTATGGGAGAGTGTTATATTACAGGGACAAAGGAAAACACAAAGCCAATCCTCGGAAGCATAGCAAAAAACGACTGGGTGTGTGTGGTGTACTTCTGGTGTATGGTCAATGAGCTTGTCTTACATACGCAGTGTGGACTTCCGAACAAAAGACGTCCACATAATGTAGGTAGCACCGACGTTGTGTGGACTTGCCCACGTCCACACAGTGTTTCCCCATTTCTGGAAAACAGGTTTAGAGGCATTTTTGGGTTAGGTTTATCTGTAGCAGAATGAAGAGAAACACTAAAGGGAATCATAGAAAAAAAATTGGGTTGAAAGAGTTTTCACAGTTTGAGAAAAATGAGTTTTTTCACTGGTTTTTCTTAACTACACGAAAGCAATGGAAAGTCCACACTAGTCATGTGAAACAAGTATGGGTGGTCCTTTGTGGGCATGCAGTGGGTGCGGAGGGTGCAGTTTGGGAGCTATTCTTTTCAGCCAGGTTTGTATGCATGCGCGCTGATATGCAAATGTAGGTAAATAGAGGTGAGGTGTTTTCTGTAATGGAATTGCAGTGAATTTTATTTTGTTATTCTTGGCTTAAGTTTTGTAGATAAACAACTGTAATTGAGAAGAAACTCGAGGACAAGTGCATTTATATTTATGCATACAGCAAAATTGGCTGAAGAGAAAAGCATTGTAAATAAATGATGAATTTTCCTTCACTTGTATTTATAGCCATTACACAAATCATGTACACATAGCTTTACCTGTGGAAGGCTGAACCCCACTGTCCCACGCTGAATACTAGGATGGTCTTTTACACTGAAAATGAACCTTGAACTCGGGGATGTTTTCACCTCAATATGCCTGAAAAACAACAACAAATGTTTCATTATGAACTGCAATCCTGTGAAACTGTCACTCACCATAAAGCCTTGAATGCAAGGCTGTGCATGCGGTGTATCATCGTGGGCTCACATCACCTGTCCAATTCCACATACATGTACAGTCTACATGTACATGAAGAAAACCAAATGCAAGCCCGCAGTGCATTACATGTACACGCACTGCCCCCATGTGAGTGTCCCACCCCGGGTACACTTGGGTGTACATGTACCTGTACTTGTGCGAGTCACCTCGGATCACAGCCTTGATTATTCTTTAACTTCCAGGCTTTATGTCTTAACAGCATGGCGTGTCCAATCAAGGGCCAATCAGATCCTGTTTCATCGTAAGCAGCTCATTTTCACTAACACAACCACAAACCCCGTAAGTTACAGAATAATCAAGGCTGTGCTCCTTTGGAGCACTAGCTATGACTCCACATGGGACAGTACTGCGCATGTGCATGCACTGTGGGCTTTGTGTTTACAATCAACGGATCGGTGTTCGGTATAAAGCGGTATAAAGCTATGGCCAACTGTATGCCCACACTCTGATACAGCACATACACAGCCTTGCATTCAAGGCTACTCACCACACAGAGATCAGGGACCACAAACCACAGCAATGCATTCTTACTGGATGAGTTAACTCCATATGTGTAAGGACACAATACTTGAGAATAAAAAAGGGACATGGGTATCAAATATATAATTGGTTGTATTAATCTTGTAATTATCCAATGTTGTAATCGAGGCCACTACCTCCCAGGCCGAGACCAAGACCGAGGCCAAGGCCACAACCTCCGAGGCCAAGGCCGAGGCCAGCTATTTAAACACGTAAAAAAATATATATCACTCAAACAAGGCTAAGATTTTGTTGTTTTTAACATCTTTTTATCTGATTCACTAACTTTTGGAGTGCCTGGATTACAAATTTTGCAGCTTACCCTGTGTTTCCTCTTGTAATGTTCTTCAAATTCTTCATGGCCATTGTATCTTAATCAGATGATCCAATAATTTGTGTTCATTTTGATGAACTGAGTGATATCATGAACGCCACGTGGAAAGCTGAAGCACAGGATAGACAGGCTTCACATTGCGCGAGTACTTGTGCATACAATGATTAGTTCCCTGTCCCATTATTGCTTTGGCTACTGCTCACTTGTGACGTTCACTCGTTCAGGGCTAGGGCTGAGTGTAGCTTGAACTTGAATGCTCAGCCTACTGGCTAATGACGTCATTGACATGACATGGGGAGATTCGCCAGTAGCACTGGAACAAAGCCCCTGATTTAGACGGCGGTTTTTTATTTTTTTTGGCCAATATTTTCAAATTCTGTTCAAACTAAAGCAGCGGAGGACCCACGAAAAATGAAAAAAGGATTAAGTCGAACACGAAAAAAAAAATTTTGGTTCAACTCTGGGTGTGTTCAAAAGAATCCCTGTTCATTAATTTACACACATGACGCGCCCTGCACTAGGGACGTATTATATGTGGGGACAAAATCACATCTGAGGATCATTATTAACAGCCAATCACAGGGCGCCTTGATTATTAATGCTGAGTAAGACATGCAACAGCCCTTGGTCTACAGACTGTACTGTGTATACATGTAAAATGTATTACTGACCCGGCGGCAGTTACATGCCCTACTCAGCATAAACAATCAAGGTGCCCTGTGATTGGCAGTCCTTGTCCTCGGATGTGATTTTGTCACTGCATTATGATTAGGCCATAGCGTAGAAAAGCCAAAGATGATACGTACATGAGTACATTCAATGCACCATTACCAGTTCATTCATTCGTGCGTATCTGCTTAAAATTTTATTTTGTTTCATGGAACCAACTTGCCAGCTTTTCAAAGGTTTGATACACTAAAAATTTAATTAATTGAAATAGAAAACACATGAAAGTTACATAGTAGAATGACTGATTTTTATTTATGTACATGTACATGTAGATCAACATTTCTAATTGTGATTAGACCCGGTACATACGTAGAGTACAACATCACTGTTATAGTATTTGGCCTTCCCTCCATAACACATAATGAATCAGGCATTCATTATGTTGAATAAAATGGAAGTGCTGGAGGACTCGAGTCCCAATTTTCAAGGACTCGGAATCGGACTCGGACTTGGATAGTGGGGTCTCGGACTTGGACTTGGAAAGAAAACCCACATATTTTTACCTATAACTTTACTGCAAATTCATTTGAAGAAGACGTACTGTTTAGTTTTCAAGATAACATGTCGGAAGTCACTCGAAACGTGCCGCCTCGACTATGTACAATGTACGTAGCTAGTGACGTGAGTTCAGTCAGTGTTGAGTGATACGGATACTGTGCTCGGTGTAAGCATGATGCAAGGACGTACAGTGTACCTACGTCCGCAAATGCCCGTTTGGTTTTTCTCTTCATGACAAAAGACTCCCTAAGCCCCCCCCCCCCAAAAAAAGTCTCCGGTTTCTGGTATGTGCGCGCGTCGCCGTAGCCATGCGCGTTGGCAAAATGAAAAAGGTTTTTTTCAATAAAAGATGATGTCTCAAAACCGCCAAACTCACTGGTTTGACTGGAATCCTGCTGCAGCACAGTTTTAACGTGTTTTTAGATGGGGGTATGATCGAGAAAATAAGCTTTATGTGGACTCTCTGGACTCCCGTACATTTTGCTCTAAGTTTAGTCGGGCACCATTTGCAGTCATCAGCCGACATTTGAAGCAAAAAAAGTCAGGTAAAAAAGAAAAAAAGCCACGTCGCCGCACCACTTTTTGGGCAAGCTCCATACCAGAAACCGGAGACTTTCTTTTTTGGCCTAACGACGTTGATTGAATGGTAGAGAAGAGTCTGATTCAGCGATAATTTTCCAGCAAAATTGTTTTTTTAAATGAGGATCTGAACTTGGGATTTTAATATTTTAACACTTGGGCATACTGCACAATACCGGTACCTTTGGGCCTTTAAGGTTATCTTTGATCTTTGCTTTGTATTAAAAGGGGTCAACAATAAACTTTGTCCTAGTTCTCAACCACGATGATGTGTAATATTTGTGAATTGTGTTAGTGCATTGGTGTCAATGAGAACAAGTACTTGAGATTCATAAAAGGACTCTGACTCGGACTCTGAGACAAGGACTTGGACTAGGACTAGGACTCGGACTCAGATACCAAGGACTCGGACTTGGACTCTGATGGGGTGGACTCGGCTACAGTACTGTAAAATGGACACCAAAGTGGTGATAAACCCTTAAATCTGAAATTAGGAAAGGTAAGGAAAGGAAAGTTAAAAATGTACACTTGGTATACATTCAAAGGAACTGATATTATGCTACTGAACACTCTATCATGTGAAATTACTGTAGGATACTAAGGAGGGTTTATAAAGACCCCAGTAAGTAAGCTGTACATGTAGTTGGACACCAAACGTAACTATCATGTTAAATACCAGTAGTTTATCTGGCGGGCCTGTGCAAAACCAGAAATATTACGACTAAGATATTACAGGTTTACCTGTATTTGTAAAATTCATTCCATTACTAATAACTTATTTACAATATTGATCTGAGGAAACAAATTGTAAGCATATTTTGATTCAAAATGTCCCGTTGTTAAGTGGTATTATGCGGTAAATTTTCAATAAAAATCAAGAATTTTACCCCCTCAAAAAATAATCGTTGATTTATTGGATTATTTATGTTTTCATACTTGTACCTAACACATTAAACCACCAAAATAGATTGTACTGGTACCCAATAATTTAGTTATCAGGAGTGACAGAAATGAATATGGAGTTCCACCTCCAATTTCAAAATGAGGTACATACATGTATGGGCCATTTCAGATCTCACTGAATGTCTGTGAAGATGCTTGATAAGCATGTTTTGGCATGTGATCATCTATGGAACCAGTGATATTCGCCAGCAACACACACTGTACACATGAATAGAGAGTGATCCAAAACTAGGTAAATCCTGGGGAAAAAAACTGTCAAATTCTTTTAAAAATCATCTCTATCACAAAGAATTGATCATATCTTTACGCTCTGAAAAGAAAAATTGAAACAAGTCAGGTGGGTTTACAAACACAAATGCCCCGCAACCGTGACTGTTCCCATGACATAACACCACTCTTTTAACATCAACTTACATGTACCTTGGTCACATGGAACGTTCATTGACAGCATTAGTGTCTTCTGTAGGTTTTATATGAATTACTCCCTAATCCCTATGATCTCAGAATAAATACAAGATTTCTATTGTTTTAGCCACTGTGACCTTGACCCTTCGACCCCCAACGCGATAGGCCTATTTGGATTACCAAGAACGATCCACAAACCAAATTTGAAGTTCACATGTAAAGTATTTCTCAAGTTATCGCGCTGACAAAATTTCTTTTGTTTTAGTCACTGTGACCTTGACCCTTGACCTTTCGGCCCCAAATGCAATAGGCTTCTTAGGATTGCCAAGGACAATCCACAAACCAAATTTGAAGTTCATATGTAAAGTATATCTCAAGTTATCGCGCTGACAAAATTTCTACTGTTTCAGCCACTGTGACCTTGACCCTTGACCTTTCGGCCCCAAATGCAATAGGCTTCTTAGGATTACCAAGAACAACACACAAACCAAATTTGAAGTTCATATGTAAAGTATTTCTCAAGTTTTCGCGCTGACAAAATTTCTTTTGTTTTAGTCACTGTGACCTTGACCCTTGACCTTTCGGCCCCAAATGCAATAGGCTTCTTAGGATTGCCAAGGACAATCCACAAACCAAATTTGAAGTTCATATGTAAAGTATATCTCAAGTTATCACGCTGACAAAATTTCTTTTGTTTTAGCCACTGTGACCTTGACCCTTGACCTTTTGGCCCCAAATGCAAAAGGCTTCTTAGGATTGCCTAGGACAATCCACAAACCAAATTTGAAGTTCATATGTTAAGTATTTCTCAAGTTATCGCGCTGACAAGATTTGTCCGTACACACACACA